GCGATACATGGGAAGATCAGCAGGACCAGCCAGACCACTATACAGGAAGAATTTATTGCTGTTCTCTGCTGCACTGTTGGTATTACACAGTGAAGCATGCTTCGTGTGAAGCTTTGGCATTTAGTGTGAAGAAAACAAACAATACCTGAACACATGATCCTCACATCCTCCTTATGAAAACAGTCGTGGTTATTCCACGACGCTGAGGGACATTTCCAGAGCAATTCTTCTTTCCCGGAACATTTCACCTCGTCCAACCAAATGGGGCCTGAGTTGGGTTCACAAGAAGCAGGAAGTGTCGTGTTCAAGGCCCTTCCACAACCCAACTGTTTGCAAACCACATCAGCGTCTGTCATTTCCCAGGAGTCGTCACAAACAGAACCCCAGGTACCGTTGTAATAAATTTCCAGTCGGCCAGCACATCTGGTCCCAGCGCCGGACAGCCTTATTTGCATGTGATCTGTTGGGAATCAATTCAGGAGAATTACATGTTTATACACGTACTAACATTGCATCGACACGAGCAAAATAAAAACTTAAAATGCGGCTGCAAACAATCAATGAATTAAATAGATAGAACCTGTCCCTTCAACTGTTGGATGAAATGTACAACTGAGAACTATTTCAGATGTGAGCCAAAATTGCTTCGTAAAACCTGCACAAACTGCCAGCTCGAACAAATCCTCTTCAAGTCAATCTTTCTGACCAAGATTGTCACTTGTTGTAATATTTCTTTGCTTTACCCTCCGTTCATTCCTGTTATGTTTCTATGAAATTCCCTGCGTCATGATTATACATATTACAGACAAAATCATTCTTGTTCACTTCTTCCAGGGTCACTCATGTCTATACATATCTCTGATTTCAAAATCTGCTTTGAGTGACGCCGAGGAATAAGTGACCGATTTTCCCAGTTTGCTGAGTTCATGATACATTTCGAAATTCGCCTCGTGTATACGTAAATTCTTTAATCACCTGAACACAGGACCGCTACGCCAAAACTGTCGTGGACAGGAGAATCTAATGGGACTGTGCTACAATTTCGTAGATGTGATTCGTTTCCTTTACATTGCACGTCAATTGCCCAGACTGTCGTTCCACCCTCGCCGTATTTTGAAGAGTTAGAAGCAGCTATGGCGACGCCGCAGCCTAACTGCCTACACACCACGTTAGCATCATTCAGGTCCCACATATTGTCCTGTAATTGACACCAGCTGCCATCCTGGTAAATCTCCACTCTTCCATCACACCGACTTCCGCCATTTGTCAACCTGATCGGCCAATGTTCACCTGCAGGAAGAAAGGCATCAAGAGAAACAGTTCATGTACAGCTCGTAAAACATCATTGACTAGCTTTAATGGGGACGTTTATTCTTAACTTTGATGATGGAAGCTTAACTGATAATTGCGCACAACACTTGTAGATGATTCTCTCCACCATTCTTGTTTCCGCAGTGACTACATTTTTAGATATTTAACGCGTAAACATGTTTGCAATACAGAATAAAGTAGAGCAAATTTGAGGGCATCTGATCTGCTCCTTTCGCCACTGGCTTGATGTGAATAGTTAAAGGTGAATGTCTGGTGAAGAATGATATACAGTCGCTGATGGAGCCTGAACAATGGTCATGCCAATTTACTGCCAAGGGAAGGTGCTCAGATTATCTCATGTTGGAAATGATCACTCTCACTGCCTCATACTCATCTGTAGTAAATGTTTACCTCCAGATCTCAGCCTGGATAATGTTCAGGTGTTGTTGCATGTTATCGCTTTGCTCTCTGAGGAATTGCCAATGGAGTTGAGGCTTAATGAGTCCACTGCAAATAGCACCACTTCTGACATTGTGTTGGAGGTAAGGCGAATTCTGAACAGCTTGGCGTCAGTTGGGTTTAGGACTCAACTTCGAAAGCAAGGGAATTGGACTTCTGGAATATCGCTCACTACTCCCGCAGGGCAAGTGTGTTGAACAATTTTGGTCAATTGAAAATAGTCAGACCATAATCAATGGATTATTTTTCGGGAAACACTTACTGTCCCGGGACACAGATGGTTGAAAGGCTTTGTCACTGTCAGTGTGGTCACTAACACAATCTCCCTCCAATCACAAGATTGGAAATGCAGCCCAGAGTTTAAGCAAAGGAGTCAGCTGATTGTTGTACTGACAGCAATGTCTGAAAGATCAGAAATTACACCGAGTTCCATCAGTCTGTTCAGGCTGAGGCTATAAATAATCCTGTTTCACTTTTTCAAAGAAGAGAAGTGGAGTTATTCCCGGTGTGCTGGATAATATTTATTTCTCACACAAATCCCAAACCCGATTCTGGGATCATTCACCGATTGGTTTTGTGGGTATTTGGTGACGACCAATATACTGAAGACGAGCAGTTGTCATCAAGCTAGTGTTTTAAAAAGGGAATCGCAGTTTCTGTAGAAACTGAAGAGGGAATGACATTGCTGTCATAGAGTCACAAAGTCATAGAGGTCCACAGCACGGAAACAAAGTAAAAGCAGCTTTGGATCTGCCGCTAATTGTTATAAAAGCCCAAATGCTTCATTCAACTCCGTTGTCGACAGGGCCCTCAATCGGGTACGACCCATCTCCCGCACTTCTGCTCTCACCCCTTCCCTTCCCTCCCGCAACAGCGATAGAGTTCCCCTTATCCTCACCTACCATCCCACCAGCATCCACATCTAGAAGATCATCACACGCCATTTCCGCCACCTCCAGCAAGATGCCACCACCAGACACATATTCCCCTTCCCTCCCTTGTCCGATTTCCGCAGGGACCTTTCCCTCGGGGGCACCCTGGTCCATACTTCCTTCACCCCCAACACCTCCCCACAGCCCTGTGGCACCTTCCTCTGTAACTGGCGAAGGTGCAACACCTGCGCATTTACCTCCTCCCTCCCCAGTATCCATGGGTCCAAACATACCTTCCAGGTGAAGCAACACTTCACCTGCACTTCCAAGAATCTCGTCTACTGCATTCGCTGCTCACAATGTGGTCTCGAACGAAGCGGAGACTTGGCGACCGCTTCGCAGAACAACGACGTTCTGCTCGCAAAAAAGACCCTGAACTACGTGTTGCCTGCCACTGCAGTGCACCTTGCTCACTGGCCAAACTCTCTGTCTCCGGTTTGCTACAGTGTTCCAGTGAAGCCCAGCGCAAGCTGGAGAACCAACACCTCATTTTCCGCTTGGGGACCTTGTGCCCTCCGGACTCAATATTGAGTTCAATAATTTTAGGGCCTAAACTCTCCCATGTCCCAGCCCCCTACCCCACATACCAGGCCTTGTTACCACATAGCCTGCCACTACACACCCGCTGTGGTTAGTCACTAACAGTCCCCATTAACAACTATTCACCCTCCCAGCCTGATCGTTAGCAATTCCTTTGTCCAACTGTCTTTCTCTCTCTTTGGGCTCTATCCTATCGTTTACTCCCTACCCCACCCACCACCCTATTTTCTGCATATACACTGACGTTTTCCCAGCCACCATCAGTTCTGAGGAAGGGTCACCGGACCCGAAACGTTAACTCTGTTTTCTCCTTCACAGATGCTGCCAGACCTGCTGAGCTTTTCGAGCAACTTTGTTTTTGTTGCGGAAACGAACTCATCAGTGCAACTCGTCTGCGGCGACCAGATATCCGAACTAAATCCAGTCCCATTTTCTAGCATATGATCCAAATCCCTTGAAACCATTCATATTCATATTCCCATCCAGGTGCCTTTTAAATGTTGTAATTTTTCCCACCTCCACCATTACTTCTGGCAGTTTATTCTACTCTTTGCATGAAAATAGTTACCGCAAAGGTCCCTTTTAAATCTTTAGCCTCTCACCTTAAATCTATTCCCTCTGGTTTTGGATTCCCCCACCCCATGGAAGACCCATTGTGAATTCACCCTATCCATGCCCGTCATGATTTTATGAAAATCTATCAGGTCACTACTCAGCCTGCGACGCTCCGGCGAAAATAGCCTTGCTTATTCAGTCTCACCTGCAGCTCAAACCCTCCATCCCTGGCAACATCCGTGTAAAACTTTTTGGAATGCTTTCAAGTTTCATGGCATCCTTCCTTATACCAAGAGCCCAGAATTACGCACGTAATCCAAAAGCAGCCTATCGATGACCTGTACAGTTGCAACATGACCCCCTGACTCCTACACTGAATGCTCTGACCAATAAAGGCAAGCGTACCAAAGGCCATCTTCACTGTCCTGTCTACCTGCGACTCCACCTTTCAAGGAACAATGAACATGCACTCCAAGATCACTTTGTTCGGCAACACTCCCCAAATACTTACCATTTAGCGTCGAGACCTGCCCTGATTTGCCTTTCCAAAATGCAGCACCTCACATTTATCTAAATTAAATTCTATCTGCCACTCCTCGGCCCATTGCCCCATCTAATCTCGGAGGTAACATTCTTCGTTGTCGACTAAAATCTCCAATTTCTGCACGCTTATTAACCATACCACTTACGTTCGCGTCCAAATCTTTGATGTAAATGAACTGCAGTGGTCCCAGTACTGATCTTTGTGGCATACCACTGTCACAAGGCTCCAGTGTGAAAAACAATCCACCAGCACATAGCAAGTTCTTTAGCAAGGTGCAGATTGAAATTACAAGTAGCAGGAAGTTTACGTTAATGGTTTTATGGTCAATCATTTATGATGCGTCATTAATGAAGTTAACGACGAGTAAGTGACATTCACCGATGATGCATCAAGTTTCTAACGTACTATTAAATCAAAGTTTATTGCAAGTACATCCTTCGTACTTTTCTTGCATTATATTGGAAGATTTTCAATGTGAGTCATGCCAATAAAATATTCACTGAAGATAACCATGAGATTAAAAAAATGGAAAAAATGAATCTCCTACCATCGTATTTGAAGTATCCGCATGAGGTCTGAGGCAGTTTAGTGCATTTGTATGGTTCAACAACGAATATTTCATCAAAATCACATGAGCAAATCATGTTCGCAAATATCTACCTGTCTGCTTATTCTAGAAGAAAATCTAAAATTCAAAATTCTGTCATTTATAAATAATTGTGTATTTTTTTGTCCTGTCGCACAACATGTATAATATTAACGACGGATCGTGAGGATAGGTTCACGTCTGGCCCAGCTGCAGATGAGCACAATGACGCTACCTGCAGCATTTTTGCTGATCCTGTGGAGTAAGTGATGTCTTGTTCTGTCAGGTAGTACTTACTGAAACAGCTCATACTGACATCATTCCTGTGGGTGCATTCATGCTGAGTTACTGGAGAAAGGGCACAATCCAACAGACTTTTCTCATTGCCTTTACATTCCAAGCGATTTCTCCGTATTAGCCCAGTGCCATTTCCGAAACGAATTCCTCTCGGCACGGACAGGGCGACTCCACAGCTCAGCTGAGCACAGACCACATTGGCAATGTTCAAATCCCAGTGAAGGTCACACACTGTTTCCCAGTTTCCAGCGTACAGGATCTCCAGTCTGCCCGAGCACTGGGACTCTCCATCTACAAGCCGGGGGATTCTGCGACCTGGAGAAAATGAATCAGAAACATACGAATGATTCATGAAGGAATACATGTCTGATTCAACGAAATTTGAATGACGAATTCTGAATGTGATTCGCTTCTCGTTCAATATTCATAATGTTCCCCCAAGCACAAACCCATCACGAAATCCATGGACAATATTGATTACACGCCTGTTGGTAATACTACTGTACTTCTTGCAATGTCACGGAGTGACTGCAAGGGTCTTCTTATCAGCACACACCGTATTACAGTTGAAAATTGAATAAATATCTGTTGAGAAGAATATTTGGTCACCAAAATTATTTTATTCTGTTTTTGCCTCTGTTCAAAATATCAAACACTATTTCTTTGTCACCGGCTTATTATACAGTCTTTGTGAGCTTCATAATCTCTTGGCATTCATCCTCGAGGCGGCTGATTTCTCAGTTTCTTTACATCCACATACAAGATCCGCCCTTCATCACATCTAGTTATCGGGAAAGAACCTGGGTCATTTCCAGAGTATACATCCCCTACAGTAGGTGGTTAAATAGGAAACTGGATACACTTTATGGATTCTTCCTCCTGGTTATTTTGCATCTTATGAAGTATCGAGAGAAGGTTTATCAAGTGATTTCAGGGTAAAAGAACTCCAAAGAATCAGTGGCCATTACACTGAATTTAACATTCAGTCTGAGAGCGAGAAATGTCAGCCAGAAACAATTGCCCTAAACACTAATACGGCTAAATACGGCAGGGTTATCTGCAATAATCTATGAAAGGAGTATAACAGAAAAAGCATTTGAGGAAAATTGTCAGATGCCTCACGGCATGGGTCCATCTAAATAAGGCAGACGGATTTTGGAAAATTGATAAACCAACCATGGTTAACCATGGAAATTAAGGACAGCATCAACAAAAAAAAAACAATTTGCCGAAGACGATTGTAAGCTGGACAATTCGTAGTGCTTTCAAAACGAATAAAAATAACTGGAAAATATTCTGGGAGGAAATTAAATTCGAGGTGAAATTAAGAACTAATATTTTTGGGGAATACAAAAGTTTCTTTAAAATATATTTTAAACAAACAATTGGGAGTTCAAAGTGAACCGATTTCCACCAAAAATTGAAGCTTGGCAGAAAACGGTGAACCAGGGAACGGCACAGAGATTGAGTAAATAGTTTGCATCAGTCTGAATGGTAGAAAACACTATTAGAATCCCAAGTATACGAAATAATTAGGAGAGCATATGGGACGAAGAAGAAATAAACACGATCGGCATATCTCCACGAAGGTATTAGGGAAACTGATGGGTTATAGACCACTACGTCTCCTGGAACTGATGGGATATTAGAGGAGATAGAGAGAGGGATAATGCATGCCCTGGTGCTAATATTCCAAGAATATACATTGGTACTAACATTCCAAGAATCCTTAGATTCTGGAGAAGTCCCATATTGGAATACGGCCAACATAACACCCTTGTTCGAAAAAGAAAGGCGACATAAAAAATGTGACTGTAGGTCTGCGGCTTGACAACTGTTATCGGGAAAATCTGAGAGCATCTTGGAAAGGATGTAACAGAAGACATACGAAACATAATCCAACACAGACAACATGGTTTCATGAATGGAAAATCATGCCTGAGAAATTTATTGCAATTCTTTTCGGTGAAAAACAGCAGAATTGATACAAGTTTATGTTTCGAATGAAATATATTTGAATTTTCAAAAGGTGTTTAACACGATAGTGCACATCAGGCGACTTAATAAGTGAAGAGTTCCATGGTGTTTGCGGAGTATTTTACCGAGTAGGCCATTCAGCCCATTCGGAATTTCCAACATTCACTACGAGCATGACTGATCAAATAATCAGCAATCCAAGTTCCTGTCTTTTCTCCATAGCTCTTGATTCCCTAACTGAATACAAAATCTGTCTATCTCAGCCTTGAATTCACTTAAAGACCCAATCTCAACATTCCTTTGCGGGAAAGAATTCCACTGATTTAAAACATTCGAGAGAAGAAATTTCTCATTTTCTCTGTCTGAACATTGTATCTCTTTATTCTCCATTTGACAAACCAATCCGTCGTCTCCTGTCAAATCAATAGCACTGAAAAGTAGCAATTAACTTCTAAGTTTACAAGTCAGTCAAACTCCTGCTAAGTGTTCTTGATCACACATGGAACAGTCTATTCGTACTCCCTGAAGATAATGGTATGTAATACTGAGTGCAGTCTAAATGCAAAACCTTATTACTTCATTAAGAAGGACATGTTTCCAACTGAAGGAAGGACGTAAAACATGTGCAGGAAACCTGTCGGCTTCCACACTAATCGGAGCTTGTACCTGAACAGACTACTTCAACGTCCCGCTTATGTCCACAGTCTGGTGGTCCAATGACAGGACCCGAGCCAGGTCCAAATTGAGGAGTGAGCGGCATTTCAGCGACAGAGCCACAGTCCAGTAGCTTGCAAACAGCTTCTGCATTCTCTAACGACCAGGACGGATCTTCGCAAACTGTAGCCCATTTTCCGTTCGAGTGAATCTCCAGCCTTCCGGCACATGGTTTGCTTTCTGGAATCAGTCTGGGCCTGACATTTCCTGGGAAAGCGAGTGAAACAAATTATGATTGTTGAAGGTCTTTACATTTATAAGCGGTGACAGATTCTGCAATCACATCAAGAATCTGATTTCTCTCTTTATTTATCCTCGGGTGACACACGTGAACTATCGTGGAAACTGTCGTTATCAATTTTCAATTTTATCACCACGCAGTCTGGTCAGTTCTAGAAAAAAACGGACCATTATGTGAAAAATTATGCTCCTTTTGGTTCTAATTTGTCATCATAATTGAAGTCCTGGTGCTACTTTGTACCCTACGGCATCATAGGTCTGCCTCCATGAGAAAGAGGGCAGACAGTTGCCGGTTTCACTGAGGGACATCATGCCTCGACCTGGGGAGGAGGGTAAGATGGAAAATCCTTCATGGTAACCTCAGCCGGTGTGGGAATTGAGACAATGCTGTCGGCGTTGCTTGTTCTGACAGGCTATGCGTTCAACCAACTCAGTTAATCGACCGGCTTCTTTCATTCTCGAGCTCTGCCATGACTTGTTTCAGTATAGTGATGGTAGGAACTGCAGATGCTGGAGAATCTGAGATAGCAAGGTGTAGAACTCGATGAACACAGCAGGCCAAGCAGCATCAGAGGAGCAGGAAGGCTGACGTTTCGAGCGTAGACCGGTCTTCTTCCCATTTCTGAAGAAGGGTCGAGGACCAAAACGTCAGCCTTCCTGCTTCTCTGATGTTGCCTGGCCTGCTGTGTTCATCCTGCTCTACACCTTGCTATCTCTTGTTTTGGTAAAGGTTTGATGCTCTCCCTGTCTGAGATTTGTCCTTGTTTTTATCTGCTCTATATCAAAATATCGTAGAGAAATGACGGGATATTCCGTCTGAGGTTGGATGTTCCTCTGCCGCTGGCTGCCTGTCCTGCTGCTGCGAACCCCGCTGGTCCTTCTGAGCTCCTCAATCTCTCTCCAAGAATGATCTTGCCCCGAGCCATGAGCTCAGACGCTATTCAGAATGGGATAGTGGCTCTTTGGCGCCTCTACCTTTATTTACTGCGCACAAGTGAACCATTTTGATCTCGTAGGCCACCCGCTGCACCCGAACCCGCCACATGGTGCCAGATGTGTCGCATTTCCAGCTGTTTAACTCATTCCTTGCATTTTTCAAGGCAAATAACAATAAAAGGTCGTCCTACCTGCATTCTAATTCGAACGGTATCGAATCTTGCCGGCTACTAATACCGAGCGTTTATTCAAAATAACAGTCCTGGTATCAACGAACACAAACCGCCATCTTCATACCGCAACCACGATTGGCGAGTTCTGGCATTATTATCATCACACAACACCGTTTTCAGGGGCAGTTAACTTGTTTTTGCGATTTTCGAAGATCGCAGACGCAGCTGTAGAAGAGAGGAAGCAGGAAGATTTTTACCTGAGCAGATGATTCCGGCATCATTCGCGTGCGACAACCCGGTTGCGTAAAACGGTGAAGTATTCTCGCACTCCTGCAGAGCAGACTCGGTCCCTTCGCACCCAACAGAATAGTAAACAACGGAACCCGAGCCCTCTCCAAAATGAGCCCCGCGCGGTGCTGAGAGCGCTGTCCCGCAGCCCAACTCCCGGCACACGACAGCGGCGTCCTTCAGGTCCCAGTTATAATCATGCACAGTCCCCCATCCTTGCCGGTCGCGAGCTTCCAATCTCCCTGCACACCGACTGCCTCCGTTCACGAGCCTCACGTTCTCTGTAAGACATTAACAACACATAAAGAGGAGCAGGAGATTAATCCGGCAGTCTCCCAGTTTGTTGTCTCCTCCGTTCTCACGAAGGCGAGAAATGATTGGGAACATTGGTCTGTTCTTAAATCTCTAACAAAACCCGGAATAAACACGAAACATAGCAACGGGGAGAGGTATGTACTCATAAACTGCGTGGATGAGCAGGGACCGAGAATCAGAGGAATGTTCGCACGAACACAGTTGCTCCGAGCTGCTGAAATACTGAGGAGATCCCTCAGCTTCTAAAAGTCGGGATGGTGACCTGCCGTGCCCATAGCTGATTGGCCCAGACAGCGCTAGAAACAGCCCCACCTCCATCGCAGCTAATAAAACTGCAGGTTTGGTGATTCTCTGATAAGGAAGTCGGTGAGGACTGGTGAGGTGGAAAATGAGAGGCGGTCCCTTGAATGGAGTTGATCCTTCACAATGTTCTGCTGAGCATCCCTCATCCATTGTCTGTCTGTCTGAAAGCAGCAGCAGTCTCTCGCTTGGCTGAGAAACAGCAGTTTGGAAAAAAAACAGTCCCTTTTCTGACTGGAAACCGATCAGCGGGTTATTCCGTGATCAAAAAGTCACCGACATTGAAGCCACAATATTCAATGCGATGGCATGGAGAAGAAACGGATGAACTGAAAACAGAGGAAGATTACCTGATCGGTGAGCCTGACTGTTCCCGGGTCTGCCTGGAATAAGAGGAGGAGAATTAGCGCTCGCCGGGCTCAAAGAATACATGAAACTGTCTGAAAGATTAAGCGATAAATACAACAAACTATGAGGGAAAGATTTTTGTCACTCTGCAGAAGAAATTATACCGAGATCCATGACTACATCGCTTCTATAATACAGACGAAAAACGTACACACGTGTTTGCTGTGCAGCAATTTGTGTAACTTGCAAAAATGTAATCTGATTGTTTTCACACATCCACACACACGAGGCTACACATTGTTCTGTGCACATTTCACAGTGACAAATGATTTAACTACAGTACAACACAAATTCAAATCAACATCGACTAATATTCAATAGCAGACAACAAATGCACTCGAATACAGGGAAGGTATTTCTTACTAAATCTTCTGGCGTCTTACACAAAAAGGTTTTGGCCTGGGATACTCTATCCATACCAGCAGTTCACATGAGCGGACTTTTGTACAGACCAGTACGACCCCACGCCATTCTCATTCCTGAGCGTTTTGTTTTATTTTCGATCAAAAGAGACAGAGCAGGAGGTGTCATTCAGCCCCATGTGCATCTGTTACCTCTTTGAAGACGATGTGTAAAACAACGCCTTTGAAGATAACTTTGAGATCTGTGATATGGTGCTCTGAGCAGTTACTATATGAGCAGCTGCAGTCGAAGAAAATGACGATGAACCAGATTTTAAGCGCACTCCAGTGCTTACTGTTTATGGTGATGTTCCCACTAACATTTCCCTTCGGGAAGTCTTGCATTCTATTCGAATGTCATGTAGGAATTGAAATGTGCTTTTCATGAAAGATTAGCCGATTGTGTGATAAATGTCGACGTTTTTTATTTCGCTGCATGCTCCCAAGTGCATAACTCAATGTTTCTACAACGGTGCAACTGAACTTTCTTTTTATTCCTAAATTCGGCAAACAAAATAAGGCAAACCATGTCGTGAATGGATTCACGGCCACTCGATCATGATTTCCCAGCTGTCGATTCTCATGTCACCTCTCATCACCGTTCTGACCCAACCATTTACCCTGTGTTAAAGGTGTTCCAACAACGCTGCTCCCATGTCAGGCTCAATTTAACAGCTTTTCCCTCAAAAATCAATGAAAATAAACAACAAATGTGTACAGCTGAGATTCGCAAGTTCATCTGTTCCCCTGGGTCTTTTCTTTATGACTTCAGGGGAAAAGAATCCTCCGCCGTTTTGCTTTCCCGCTTTTACTGCGTCTCCATTCATCTACAACCCTTGCCAGGTTTCCATTTGCTCCCACGCATCCTGAATATACTTTCACACTACTTGGATTACACGTTTTGTTCTTTTTATAAGTGACTTTGTTGCGCCATTGTACAAGTGCCCGGATATTGAATATTGCATCAATCACATGCGTTTTCTGCAAATAGGGTCCCAAACACATCTAAAAATAATGATCTCAAAATATCATGCAGGTAAATACATGAAATAAACCGTAGAGTTCAGTGCAAAAAGGCAGACTTTTTGAAGATTAACATGAGCTAAACAAAGCCGCTCATGCAACAAATCCACGTGAGATCAGTGGCAGGATTTTGAAGAAAGCAGACGCAAAGCACTGCTGATGCTGCAAAGCTGAAAGAAACACACAGACTACTCGAGAAACTCAGAAGCTCTGGCAGAATCTGTGAAGACAGAAACGGAGTGAAAGATTTGTGTTCAGCATGACTCGTCCATGTGTGTTTATGGGGCATTTTAGAGGGCACAATTGATAAGAACTCTGAATGATTATAATAATTTAGGCAAGGTTTCTCCTTCTCAAGTGAATATATTCTTCCAAAATATTCATTGCTAATTTCAAACATGCTATTTATATTAATTACATGGTTTTTTTTAATCACACAACACGTCCGTAGAGACATTGCGGGGACAGAATTCTCAATGTGGAATGACTGTACAGCCAATGCAACTATTTAGTTTAACAGACCATATGCTCGCATTGGTCATTTGCGACTTCAACTGGCCTGATATAAATCGCAAAATAATAAGTTAGTCTCACGCCTGCTCTCGGAGGGACTTAAGAAACAAAGTACAACAAAATGCTAAGCTTATTATATCGGTTTTAATAATTTAAATTTTCAGCAATCTATGAAAATTCTGTCAGTGTCAATGAAATGCCGATCAGATGTAAAATACAATTGATACCATTTTAATGACCGGGGCAAAAATGGAGAATTTTGAATTTTGCTATTTTTTTAAAAAATAAGCATTTCAAAGGGATTACCACGAACTGTATAGTGCATTATTGACTGAAAAATTCAAATGATTGCTTCAAATTTCAGTTTATGAGAACTGACATACGAATTAAGTACGGATTTTCCTGTAAAGGGATTTTGGTCACGACATGATTCGTTGAAAACAAGTTCCTGAGTGAGGTCACTGGGATAATGAAAACCCGAGCTCCATTTCATTCCCTGAATCGATTCGTTTTCTTCACTCCCTGATCGACAGCGATGATATGTAGCCAATGTGTCATTCATTACTTCGGGAAGCGGTGATCACTGTAATTGTTTCTGCAATTTGGAAAGTCCATATTCAAAGTATTTCTTCAGTTGTGTTTTGTTATGTATCATCGACGTTAATCAGATAATCGTTGTCCATAACTGCTGCTGTCACCAACTATTTAGATCCAACAACTCATCCACGAAATTCAGTTTCTCAGGAAAGAAACGAAGATGTCCAACAAACCTGAACAGAAATGCCGAGCTGTTCATTTTGTTCACTGCGCCTGTCGTACGGACAAAAAAAAGCAGACAGAAACAATAACTTTGGGGAGATGACACAAAGCCAGTCGGCTGAGAGTAGAGCGCGGTAAGTGCATGAATCAACGGAACTGAAGCAGGAGTGAACATTAACTGCGAGGTACGAGTCAAAGCAGCACACAATGCCGCCTGAACACACTCGGGTTTTTATGCGCGATAAGTGCTGAGTATCCGCCTGTGAACTGCACAGAATGGCAGCAAACCAGAAGAATCGGATTCGGATGTTCAATTCGGTCATATTCCGGAGATATAATTCGGTAAGTACATACAGACTGAGACGGAAGCTTCCCGAGTCCGCAAATCTGTCGGTTGCGCACTGCAAGAATTAACAAGTGCAAAAAACACTTTGGGAATAATTTGTCACCGAATGGAGGCATTGATCGATAGTTTAACTCACATATATCTAGCGGGCAGAATGATAATCAGGAACAAGGCTCCATACTCAGTGAACATCACGTCATTGTGTAAATATGTACAAAATCTAAAAGGCGGATGAGAAAATCAAACAAAAAGCACGGTGCTGAATAAAGGCATGAAACGTACTAACATCCCGCGAGTTACCAGAGACCAGAAAGTGAACTGGACGAACCAGATCAATATTGTGGCAATAATAGCATTCAGACGTTAGCATTTATGCGGCAAATACATCACCTCCTGATTCCATAAGTCTTGTCTCACATTAATATGGCACAAGTTAAGAGAGTGGTGGAATACTCCCAACTTCCCTGAGTGATTGTACGCCAGCAACACTCAACAAGCTCAAGACCATTTGTGTCATGGATGACAATGAAAGCATTCTGAAATTTTAAAAACAAAAACACGGACTGGTGGAGAAGCGGGTCTCCCAACCTCTGTGGAGAGAGAAAGAGATTTAACATTTCAAGTTGAATCTGCTCTGCCCTCACAAGAGTGGTGTTCCGTAGAAGACGCGAAAAGAAATTAACTGTTTCGCTGTCTCGAAATACTGCACGACCTGCTAAGTTTCTGCAGCACTCTGTTTTTAATTTTCAGATCTCCTGCATTCACAAAACTTCATCTTTTATTTAAGGGACAATATTCTGACGAGAGTGGTGCAGTTTTTAATGCTTTCCCTCAAATATAGATTGATTACCGAATTGAATGCAAACAGCGGTACAGTTCATGTGACGTTGTCTTCAGCTGTACTATCAGAACAAAAGACTGCAATTCAGATTCTCTTCTTTTCAATGAAATCGAACCAACTAGAAATGAAAGCCGGTCTTTTTGTCCATGGAAGTTGATCAGAAATTTGCGTGTTTACAATTTTGATATTTCCAAATTACAGCACTGTCAGAATTAAAGTAAAATCTCAATTGGCAGACAACGAGGGGGTCGAGCTAAGCGCCATGTTAATGCATTAATTTCTACAATTGTAAAATCCTTCCCAGTTTACAATTGATTGAATGTAAACATGGGACAACGTCGAATGAAACAAAGAACCGCCGATTTTGGAGATGTGAAACAAAAAATAAATTGGAAATCGCCGATGAACTCAGAAGATCTGACAACATCTGTCGGGAGAAAACAGAATGAATGCTTCTAGTCAGTTACTCTTCATCAGAACTGATAAAGTGTCGCTGCACTCGAACTGCTACCTCTGTTTTCTGCCCACAGATACTGCTAGACCTGCTGCGTTCACTAGCAATTTCTGCCCCGAATCGATCAATCAATATCTACCACCCAAACTGGACAAATTATGTCAACCATTTCAGTGACCAATTCATTAGAACAACCATTCAAGCCTGTACATCTTGTGCACTCAGCGGCTGAAACCGTTTTAACAGATTCGGTATCAACAGTTCGAGACTTCAGTCTGCACACTTCACAAATCCACAGAGCCGCTGTAGACAACAAACATCCACTATCTCATTAAAATCGGAATAACAGAATTCAAATGTATGAAAGTGTCATTTATTTTGCACGTCAGCTCAATATGTTCTCGGGGAAAGATTAGTAATTACATCAGTGATGCACATTGTTCAGCAATGATCAAGGAGACAGCACAATGTAGCAAGCAATACAAAACTTACAGTTTAAAAGCTGCAGCAGAATCAGAGCCAGAAAATCTGGCAACATCTTTTGGGTGTTCGCTGTCAGAGACTAAAACTTAACAGTAACAGAATGCAGACACTGAGCAGTTCGTTCACCAAATCCTGACACTCTAACAGTTGTGAAAGTTAATTCTTTGAGAAGTTTTCACAGAAACCACTGCTCCCTTCCAAATAACCAGTAGATTTTGACGTGTCAGAATCATGAATTGCATGTGATAAATCACACCAATCAGATGTAATGTCGGGATGAGTCGATGCAACGAAGCGCCGTTCTAAACACCAATGAGCGACCAGGGAGGTGAACAATCTGGGTGGAAATCAGTCACCACTCCGGAATCCAGACCATGACATACACGCACGGAAATAAGCTGTTCGGCTTGGTCCCGTGTATGTTATTCTCATGTACTCAGCTTTACTCCGTCACTCTGCAATTGCTTTGGAAGAATGCCTCAAGAATTTCATTCCATTGTTCTTCTCCAAACGAACAAAGGCAGCGTTTTGCATATCTCGCAAAACTGAAATTTCGCAACCAGTAAACCTTCCTATTAACTTCCCTTTGTGGCCTCTCCATAGGTTTGACACCATCTGAGAATACAGTTCCCAAGATTAGAAGCAAAGTTCCAGCTGAGCCAAAACCTTCACTTGAAAGGTTTAATAAGTTTTAAATAGATTTGTGTCAAATACTCGTATTTACGTCACAAGGAACTCACACCCTTTTTCTATTGGTCCTCATCCTGTCCTGTCACTTTGCTGGACTTGTGGCCAAGAAATCCTGTGGACGTCGGTTGTACACACATTTGGCAAAAAGCCAAGTGCAACATCCGCGTGTGAGTCATCAAACCTTATTGGCTGTTTTCTTTCAGGCAGTTACTCTTTAACCTGATGCTCGCTTTTTTTTTATTGTTGACTGAATGTTTTCATGGCCTTGTTCTTTGTGATGTTTTTGTTTCTTGTCCCTGACTTTTCACTGAACAGAGTTTCTTCGCTTTACCAATTTGAATAGCGTACCGGAGTATTGCTGACTCTAACTTCAGAGAATCGTAGAACTCAGCCAGAGACAATGGCACTTCATTCCCTAATTCAGGGTTACATTTGATACCTTTTGCCTACCAGTCAACAGTCAACAACAGGATAATGAGATGTTCAGCAAAAGTGTGAATGAAGGCTATTTTTATAGAAAAACTCTATCTCTGCTGTTTAGATATTGGAATTCGATCCTTCAAATCCATTGATCTTTTAAAATCAGGAAAAGAGAAGGGAAATAAATCACGAATTTGAGCTTCTCAGATATTTCTGGGAACTGTTATAGTTGTGGAAATACATAGATAAGACAGACTTTGCAATCTCCGAGGATCAATACTTCAAAAATAGTCTATAACGAAGGGGCCCAAGGTGGGTCTGGATTGATAATCATAAGAGTTTTCGCTAAAGAATAAGTCTGAGTGAAACTAATGAGGCTGATATTCCTCTCGACGTGATGGGTTGCATCCGAGGATTTAATAAGAAATTGATGTAGGTGATGTGCTGGGAATAATCTTCCACAGAGCCCTTAGATTCACGCAAGGTCCACGATGATTGGAATACTTCAAATGTAACATCTTCCATCAAAAATGGAGGGAGAAAAATTCCATAATGCATAAAATTGCAGATTATTCAGCAAGACGAACGAAAATCAAGCAGAGTCAGTATGGCTTCATGAAATAATTTCTGACAAATATACTTTAGTACTTTGAGGAATCACCAAGCAATGAATGTACAGTATTTAGATTTCAAAAATGCCTTCCATAACATACTGCACATGAGCTGACATAATATACATTCGTTTTTACTACGCAACAAACTCACACTATTTTCTCATTGCTCCCCCAAACTGTCCTGTGACCTTTCCGGGCTTGTGGCCAAGTGCCACAGTATCAGTTGGACGCCTTAATGTATTAGCATGGATATAGGATTGGATGACGAATAGAAGTCAGAGAATTTCAGAATGGCAACAGTGGAGTTCCCCCTGTTGAGGGCACGGGCCACAAACTGCTGCAATGTTCATGTATGGTTTCGACCATTTGATCATTTCGATCATTTGGATGGTTTTGACATCTGGATATAAATTGTCCCATTGGGAACACCAGCATGGGTTCACGAAGGGTAGGTCATGTTTAACTAATTTGGTGGAATTCTGTGAGGACATTACTTCCATGGTGGACAATGGGGAACCTGTGGATGTGGTGTATCTGGATTTCCAGAAGGCATTTGACAAGGTGCCACACCAAAGGCCGCAACATAAGATAAAGTTGCACGACATTACAGGTAATGTATTGGCGTGGATAGAGGATTGGTTGACCAGTAGAAAGCAAAGAGTCGGGGTAAACGGGTGTTCTTCCGGTTGGCGGTAAGTGGCTAGTGCTTTGCCTCAGGGATTAGTGTTGGGACCGCAATTGTTTACAATTTACACAGATGATTTGTAGTTGGGGACTAATTGTGATATGTCAAAATTTGCAGGTGACACTAAGATGAGTGGTAGAGCAAAGTGTGCAGAAGACACTGAAAGTCTGCACAGGGATATAGGTAGTCTAAGTGAGTGGGCAAAGGTCTGGCAGATGGAGTACAAGATTGATAAGTGTGAGGTCATCCATTTTGGTAGGAATAACAGCAAAATGGACTATGTTTAAAATGGTGAAAAATTGCAGCAGGCTGCTGTGCAGAGAGACTTGGGTGTCGTTGTGCATAAATCGCTAAAAGTAGGATTGCAGGTGCAGCAGGTAATTAAAAAGGCAAATCGAATTTTGTCTGCCATTGCGAAAGGGATGGAGTTTAAAAACAGGGAGGCTATGCTGCAGCTGTATAGGGTCCTGGTGAGTCTACACCTGGAGTACTGTGTGCAGTTTCGGTCTCCTTACTTGAGAAGAAATATACTAGCACTGGAGGGGGTGCAGAGGAGATTCACTCGGTTGATGCCAGAGTTGAGAGGGTTGGATTGTGAAGAGAGACTGAGTAGACTGGGCTTATACTCATTGGAATTCAGAAGAATGAGGGGAGATCTTGCAGAAACATATTAGATTATGAATGGAATAGATAAGGTGGAGGCAGGGAGGTTGTTTCCGCTAGCAGGTGAAACTCGAACTCGAGGGCATTTTCCTCAAAATAAAGGGAAGCAGATGTAGGACTGAGGTCAGCAGGAACTTCTTCACCAAGAGGGTTGTGAATTTGTGGAATTCCCTGCCCAGTGAAGCGGTTGAAGCTACCTCGCTGAATGTTTTTAAGGTAAGGCTGGATAAATTTTTGAACAGTAAAGGAATTAAGGGTTATGGTGAGTGGGCGGGTAAGTGGAGCTGAGTCTCAAAAAGATCAGCCATGATCTTATTAAATGGCGGGGCAAGCTCGAGGGGCCAGAGGACCTACTCCTGCTCCCAGTTCTTATGCTCTTGTGTTCCAGATGTCGGAAGTGAATGTCCTCTCACAAAGTTCGCAGATTACGCAAAAATAGATGGCGCCGCATGTAGGCCAGAGCAGTTGAGGATGGCAGATTACTTTTCCTGAAGGATATTCGCAAAACAGGTGGTTCTTTTTTTCGAAAATCAACAATGGATTCGTGGTTATGATTAAACTCTTATTTCCATATTTTTAAAGAATTGAATTCAAAATCCGCCATCTGCGTGGAGGGATTCGAAACAAGGGCCTGGCAAAGAAATCCAGGGGCGGACTGTGTGGAGTAACATTCCATGACGCCATCACCTCCACTACCCAGGAAGGGATTCAACACGGAGTTTGTCTATCTATCCTCTCTGTGCCTCTTATGATCATATCTAGTCTCTCCTCGTCACGAAGACTCTTTATCCCAGGTAACAACTTAGCTCTTCTCCTTTGCATGCTGAACAATGCATCCATGCTGTTCCAATAGTGTGTCGACCAGAATGCACACAGCATTCCATCTGTGGCCTAACCAATATTTTGCAAAGTTGTGATAAGACTTTTTTGCTCCCATACAGTTGGCTGATTAAATCAAGCATCCCGTAATCCTTCTTCGTCACCCTATCTGCCTGCGCTGATTTCTTCAGGGCTCTGTAAATTTCTTCATTGAGATCCGTTTTTTTCCTCGGTAATCCAGACAGATCTACCATTCATTGTCGGTATCCTTCTCTTATAAGAACTTCCAAAATGTATCACCTCACACTTTATCAGGATTATGTTTCATCTGCCATTCCTCTGACATATTTTCCCGGCTTTTCTACCGCAGGCTATTGCCGGATAACATCCTTGTCATTATCAAAAACACCACTTTTTTTGTGTCCCCTGCAAACTTACCTACTACATTCACGTCCAAGTCGTCAATGAACATGATAAACAGCAAGGACCAGCACTGATCCTTGTGGTACACCGTTGGTCGCAATTTTCCAATCACAAAACAAGTCTCCATCATTGCCTTTTTTGGCTTCTATTTGCAAACCAATTTTGGATCAAGTTCCCCAACTTGCCTCGCGTCCCCTGGGTACCTACCTGTTGAATTTGCCTTTCCTGCAGCATCTTGTCAAAGGCGAATGTCGGAGATGTCACAACGAAGTTCTTCAGTTGCTGCATCATCTTTGACTTCATAGAATGGTGCCATAGAAACGCCTCTGGAGGGAGATTTGTAGCGATGAACGATTGGACATAGTGAGCAGGAGGGATGTATCTTTTCGACATAATGGAATGGAATCAGAGTGGAAGATCAATTGGATCATAGTTATCACAAGAGCAGCTTCAATTGGCTGAGGGACTGGGAATTTCTGGCGTAAAATGGCAACCAACAAGTTGTCGAAAGTAAAATCCTCTCCACCCGTTCGTTGGATTACAGCCTCTCTCAACAGCATGTTAAGATCTGGAAAATGGTTTCCCTGATGGCATATTTGGTGAAACGCCATTTGATGTGGAAGGCAGTCAGCTCGACTGCCAACATTACGTTATCAGTGTCATGGGACTGACTATCTTATTTGGCTGGTTTGGCTTTATTGTACGTTTGAAAGCAGGACAGTCTCTGAGACGTATCTCTCAGAAATGCTGCAGAACTACAGAATACACCTTGCAGCTTTAATGGCAACTTGCCAAATACTTGAGGAAATACGAACATTCAGTGAGACTCCGGGAGGGACAGAAACAGAGTGAATCTGAATTTTCACTATTACTGAACTGTACCCTGAGACAAGTGGTGTATTCCCTCCAAACGTACAGGAGCACTTTTTTGTTTGGTAAGGAAATGATTAATTGGAAACAGCAGAAACTGTACTGCATGAAAAGCAGCCCGCAGAGTTTCGTAACATTAGTTCTGTTTTATTTTTCTGTTCAACTAACAGGAAGCACCTGCCCTTGTGGGGATCTTTATGTATTTTATCAATCTGTTCAGGAGCGCTATAACACATGCTGAGGGCAAATAGGATAAAAACCCGATGTGCTGGCCTTCGAGGGACACGCCCACTGCGCCACAAGAGCCGCTTCTGAGTGTGGGGACGTGATGACGTCAGTATTATTTCGCTGTTACTCACACACAATGTCTGCGACTGTTTATCAGTTACTGCGAGCAATGAATCGAAGGTCAAAATCGCTAATTTGGCAACAAAAACAAAAGCAGGTCCGAAGAATGACCTCAGTTACAATCATTCAGTGAAGTCGGGTGCACCAGGAATAATCATGCTCACTGGTTGCACAATGGAACAGTAGAATTGGTG